ACTATCTAGGCCTGCTCGCGAAGAAAATCGGGTCTTTTTTAAAAAAAAAACACTCCACTGTTCCAGGGGTAATCTGCTTTCAGTCATTTCTGTCTCTTTAAGGGGAAGCTCTGGGTTTTGTCCCGGTTCTTTGAGGGGGGAAAGGCCTCGGGTGCCTGTGGGGAGACGGGGAAAGGACGCCGTCCCAGGGCCTGTGTTTACATTGCCCGAAAGGAAAGGGCAGGGGAAGGAGAGAACAAGGGGGAAAGCCCCGGATGAACGCGGCTCCGATGGGAGAAAATAGGGGGCAGCATCCCACGTGTTCGCTCACCTCTGGAGAGGGCTCCGTGAGAAATACCAAAGACACTTACAAATCACTCTCGCCACCCTTAAAAATATGTATATCTATAGTGAGAGAAAGAGAGCTTAATACATACACCATATATGTGAAACAGACACATAAATGCTATGTGTGTTTACACACACACACAAAGCAATAATATATTATTATAGATAGGTTTATATATATATATAATATTATATAATAGCTATATGATTATATAAATATATATATTACACATTAAAGATATAGATAGATATTAAATATGTATATTAAATATGTGTGTGTTATTTTACATATAATCGATATATATTACAGATATAGACAGATACCAAAAATAGATATAGATATATATTATAGATAGATAATATGTGTGTAGCCGCCTTGAGTCCCAACAGACGTGGTATAAATAAATATTATATTTATATAATATCATTATTCATATATATTATATATAAATATAATTCTTTATACCAACAGACGTGGTATAAATAAATATTATATGTATATAATATCATTATTTTTATATAAATATAAATAATATATATAACATATATAAATAATGATATTTATTGAGTCTCAACAGGCGGGGTATAAATAAATATAATATTATATAGATATATATCTACTATTTATGCACACACACACACACACATATATATATATAATTTATCTATATGTGTGTGTATATATATTTATATAGTAGATTATAGCCAAAGAGGGTTATCTGCCCCTAGTAACAACAGTAACTTACAACTACATGGGAAATCCACAGATTTTGAAGGGTCTGCTTCCCAGGGAAGCTCCTGCCTACATATCCGGGACTCAGAATCTCTTCGAGTTTTCTAGTTTCCAACTCCACGAAATGTCATGCCCATCCTTCGCCTCCTGTGACCCCCAAGACCCGAGTCTTCCCCCCGAAAGGAAGGGAAGACACAGGCAGCCCACCCCTTTAACCTGAAGGATCTCGAGAGAGAAAGGCTCCACGCGAAAGAAGTTGTTTCGCCCGCCGGCAGGCAGCTCGCCTCTCTCTTAGCCGCTCGTCTCTCTCTCTCTCTCTCTTTCCCTCCGTGGCGAACAAAAGGCATTCTGACTCAAAAGACCTTGTCGACATTGTCCCCCTCCTCCTCCTCCTCCTTTCCCTCCTTCTCCTCAACCCCTCCGGGGAGAAGGCGTGCAGAAACACCTGTTCCTAGGCAAGGAGCAACAACAACCCCCCAAAAAGCATATTTCTCAGCCTTTGGCCTTCCGCTCGTTGCAAACAGTCAGGGTTGCACTGGGAATCGGGCACTTCCCGTTTGATTCTTTGGGTCAGAGAGGCTTCCAAGCAGCATTGGGGCGGATCGTGCCTGCGGGAGAAGCTCGGCCGTTCCATTCCGGAAGACGTTGGGTTTCATTCAGAGCAAGGCCGTCAGGAGAGAGCTTCAAACACTGCCTCGAAGTGTGGTGGACACTTTGGAGGTTTTGAACCAGAGGCTGAGCGGCCATCTGTCGGGAGAGCTTGGATTGTGCTTTTCCCGCATGGCAGAAAGGGGTTGGATTGGTTTTTGTGGGTCTCTTCCAACTCATTCTAGGATTCCTTCTCCTGGGATGTAACTGTTGTGCAGAAGAATATCCCAAAACAGAGTTGTGCTTTGAGTATTATTATTATTATTATTATTATTATTATTATTATTATTATTATTATTATTATTGCTATTGGGCTTCTGTTCGCCGTTTTTGTTTCCTGTTTGGAACTTGAAAGTAAATGTCTGTTTACAAGGTCCATGGAGGCGATTTTCCTTCAAAGTCCTGGCTTCTCCAACGATATAATTATTGTTTGTGATATAAATATAACAACAACAACACTGGCCAACACACATTTGGATGCCTCCAGTGTTAGCCCAGTAATTCAAAACTCAATCCAAGCATTGGAAATGTCAACAAGGGCCTAGAGACGCTATTCGACTTTGAATGTGAGCAGAGGCAACTTGATTCGGAATAGTTTCGGCACAATTTCAGGGTGTTCTTGTTTTGTTTTTTGCGCCAGAGTGTTTACTTTCCCTCCCAGCCCTCGAGGTGTAAAATCTTGATCTTGACAAAGAGAGTATCAACTGTCTGGGTCTCAGTCGAGTTCCTTTTCTCGGAGGTGAAAATGTAGAGGGACCCAAACAAAACCAAACTTCCTCCTCCTCCTCCTCCTCCTCCTCCTCCTCCTCCTCCTCTTCCTCTTCTTCCTCTTCTTCTTCTTCTTCTTCTTCTTCTTCTGAAGCATCTCCCAAGTCCCAAGTGGTAGACAAACGGGGGCGTAGTAAAATGGCCGCCTGCGTCTAAAATGGCCCACATGGGATCTTTTTGGGGACGGGGAGGAACCGTGGATACGAAGGCCCAGCCGCGTTTAGACTCCCCGAGAGATCTCAGAAGGAAGAGGCAGGCATTTCCATAATCCGAAACGCTCCAAAACAGTCTGAACGCAAACATTTCGGAGAAAGAATATTCAGTGCGCGTTTCAAAAGGGACATTGGGGGGGGGGGAATCAAAAACGTTATTTTGAATCTCGAATATTATTATTATTATTATTATTATTATTATTATTATTATTATTTAATAATAATAATAAATAATAATAATATAAAATGTCAAATCAAGGTTTGTTTGTTTTGGGGGGGGGGGGAGGGGTTAGGGCAGGCATGGGCTAACTTGGGCCCTCCCTCCCTCCCTCCCTCCAGGTGTTTTGGACTTCGACTCCCACCATTCCTAACAGCCTCAGGCCCCTTCCTTTCCCCCCTCAGCCGCTCAAGAAAAGGAATGGGCCCGAGGCTGTTAGGAATGGTGGGAGCTGAAGTCCAAAACACCTGGAGGGACCCTTGCCTGGGATAGCAGAATCCCTGGATGCGGAGGACTGCCTTCCTTCCTTCCTTCCTTCCTTCCTTCCTTCCTTCCTTCCTTCCTTCCTTCCTTCCTTCCTTCCTTCCTTCCTTCCTTCCTTCCTTCCTTCCTTCCTTCCTTCCTCCCTCCCTCCCTCCCTCCCTCCCTCCCTCCCTCCCTCCCTCCCTCCCTTCCCTCCCTCCCTTCGTGGCCATCTTTAGGAGTCGGTCCCCTATTCAGGGAGGCTTGAATGATAGCGGCTGGCAACTAGCAAAAGCCCCTTGGAGTTGACTTTGCCCAGGAAAACCCCATGAAGCACACGCAAAAACTCTCAGGCGCGGATGGCTCGCGTTCCTCTTGTGGGGTGAACCTCGAACGGACGCAGTTGGAGACCGCTTGAACGTTGGGGTCCTGGGAGTTGCAGTTTGACAAGGTCCTTCTCCTTCCCTGCCAAAGTTCCCGGGATTCCCTTGCATCGAGCCGTTCAGGAGCATTCATTCTCGAGTGTAGATGCACCCGGGGACAAAGGAAGAGAAGGGCTCGAATTCCCACCCTGGGAATTACTTGTCCCGCAATGAAAGCCAGTTGGGATCGGAGGGGAAAAAATAAAATAAAAATACTATTCCATTAATAAAATACCATTTTTGGGTGTCAGGAGCGACTTAAGAAACCGCAAGTGGCTTCTGGTGTGAGAGAATTGGCCGTCTGCAAGGACGTTGCCCAAGGGACGGCCGGATGTTTTACCATCCTGTGGGAGGCTTCTCTTATGTCCCCGCATGAGAAGCTGGAGCTGACAGACGGGAACTCATCCCGCCCCCGGTTGCGCCACGGAGGCTCCTAATAAAATACAATGAAAATATGGCAGCGGGGTCGCCTCGCTTGATGCAGAGGAGACTTGGGCTTTCACATTTTCTGCAGGTCACAAACACACAGAGATATACAGTATATTCCTGCACTTGTTAAAAAAATTCTATGAATAATAATAATAATAATAATAATAAATTAATAATAATGTTTTACAAAGCTTTTTGGGGGTGCAGGGAGTGTTTCTCTGCGTAGAAGGAATATGTATGGATTATAACTGGATTATTTTTATTTTTATGTAGTATTTCGTATTATTTTATCATTTTATTTCTATATATAATAAGAGATAATATAATGATCATGAAGATATAATAATGATAAAGTGATACATTTTAACCCCCCCCCCCATTCTCTCTCTCTCTCTCTCTCTCTCTCTCTCTCTCTCGGGCTTGGGACTCCAACTCTTAAAGTCTTCCTTAACTTGACTGAGCAAAATGTAACAGGATGTTAGAGAAGGACTTGAGCTTTAATCCTCCGCAGAGCTTTCGGGCACATCTGGGTTTCAAGGTTGCGGCTGTGTCATAAGAAGGGGCTGCTCTTTTGGGGTCTCCCCCTTTCTTCTTTGACTCGGGCCCATGCCAATGAGAAAAGAAGCATTCAGGAGGTGGGAAGGAACGGGGCCTGAGGTGGGTTGTTGTAAGTTTTTTGGGCTGTATGGTCGTGTTCCGGAAGCATTCCCTCCTGACGTTTCGCCTGCATGTATGGCAGGCATCCTCAGGATGCCTGTTCCGGAAGCATTCCCTCCTGACGTTTCGCCTGCATCTATGGCAGGCATCCTCAGGATGCCTGCCATAGATGTGGGCGAAATGTCAGGAGAGACTGCTTCCGGAACACGACCATACAGCCCGAAAAACTTACAACAACCCAGTGATTCCGGCCATGAAAGCCTTCGACGAGACGAGGTCTGAGGTCTTTCACTGCGTGGGATTGACGGGATGTGCCCTGATTCCCCTTCTCCCTCTTCTTTCAGGAGGATGTTCCCCACTTTCCAGGTGAAAATCTTCGGTATGGACCCCATGGCCGACTATATGCTCTTGATGGATTTCGTCCCGGTGGACGACAAGCGATACCGGCAAGTATATCCCGCTATCCCGCCTCCTCCTTCCTTTCCCGTCCCTTCAGAAAAGACCACGATGCGGGTCAGATCCTGGAGGGAAGGGGGTGGGTGGCCTTTTCTTTGAAACTGCCTGATATGGCTGCTCAGTGTCGGGTCATGGCATGTGAAAGTGAGAGGTGGAGGAGAGCAGAGTGAGAGCTTTGCTCCCCAAGAAGAATAGGCAGATAATGTGGGATCAGATCCTGGAATATAGGACAGTGTCGAAGGGGCCCGATCGTTCTCAGAGAAGCTAAGCAAGAAAGCCAGGAAAGCCTCTTAGGTGCTGGAGATGGTTGCTTCTCCCCATCTCTCCAACCGCACCCCTTTCCTTGCTTGAAGGAAATCTGATTTTTGGTGTCATTTCAATTTTGCTCCTTCATCTTCCTCCAGAATTTGGCTTGCAATAGGATGGGCCCTCTGTATCCACAAATTCAACCACCCAGAGCTTGAAATCTATCTATAAATAAAAATGCAATGTTCGTTTGTGGGATTACCAAAACTCAATAACCACTGCACCAATTGACACCAATTTGGGACACAATACACCTAACAACCCAATGTATGTCCTTCACTCAAAAATTGATTTTGTCATTTGGGAGTTGTAGTTGCTGGGATTTATAGTACACCTACAACCAAAGAGCATTCTGAACTCTACCAATGATGGAATTAAACCAATGTTGGGACACAGAACTCCCATGACCAACAGAAAACTGTAGAAGGGTTTGGTGGGCATTGACCTTGAGTTTGGGAGTTGTAGTTCACCTACATCCAGAGAGCACTGTGGACTCAAACAAGGAGGGATCTGGACCAAACTTGGCACAAATATTCCATTTGCCCAAATATGAGAGCAGATGGAGTTTGGGTAAAATAGACCTTGACATTTGGGAGTTGTAATTACTGGGATTTATAGTTCACCTACAATCAAAGAGCATTCTGAACCCCACCAACGACAGAATTGGGGCAAACTTCCCACACAGAACCCCCATGGCCAACAGAAAATACTTAAGGCCATCCGTTCCAACTCCCTTCACCAGGGCAAGAAAAGGTAATCAAAGCCCTCCTGTCAAAGAGCCATCCAGCCATAGAGATACATAGATATATATGATTCGCACACACAGACATATAATATCATAGATTTAAAAGGGGCCCCAAGAAGGACAATTATATGTTGCATGTTTCAGAGTAGGCAAACCAGACAATCTCCACATCAACACTGACATAGAAACAACAAGAAATACTGTTTACCCATAAGCATAAAGGAATTACATATATTAGAAACCATTACTTTATTTTCCAGATCACCAGACTGGGCCACAGCAACGTGGCAGGGGACAGCTAGTCTATACAAATAAAAATGCAATGTTCGTTTGTGGGATTAACATAACTCAAAAACCACAGGACGAATTGACACCAAATTTGGACATAATACACCTATCAGGTCAACAAGTGACCATCACTCATAAAAACACTGAAAAACACAGTGGAAGAGACTTAAAAAGCCAAAAATAAAAATACATTACAACGCATGTGCAAAATCACATATATACACATACACTCACACATATACACATACAAAATACATATACACAGACTGGGTCACAGCAACTTGTCACAGGGGACAGCTAGTATGTATATATATATATAGAGGGGGGGAGTGCAAACCTTGCCTTTGTCATTTTATATAAGGGATATTGTTTTACTACACTCTTGTATATCATAGGATTTGGGCATCCATGGATTTTGGTATCCACTGTGGGTCCTGAAACGAAATGCTAGCAGATACTGGGGGGCACTGTTTTTTTCCCCTTAAGTGGTTTGGTTTTTATGTTCTTGGAACTTAGGCATGCACTAATTGTGATTGCTGTGGTACTGTTGGTCCTCTTGGTCCACAGATGTAACCATCCGAAACTTTAAACATTTTGATTATGTTGCAATTTGCATATCTGTTTTATATACCTGGTGTCACATAAAACTTTCTTGGCAAAAAAAAGGGAGGGGGCATAAGCTGAAAAAGTTTAAGAAGTTCTGCTTTAGGTGTTGCTTGGATCACAACTCCCAGCATTCCTTGCCTCTGTCTTGGCTGGCTAAGAGGCTGATGGGACAAACAGTCCAACCCCACCTACAGAGCTACAGGTTTTCAACCTTGGTTAGATGTCTTGAGGAAAGTTACACTATCCTTGTAGCTCGGTTATCGCAGAACCTTGAGGCTTTGGGGGACTGTAGTGTGATGACTTTATTGATTGGGGGATTCTGGCAGTTGTGGGTCAGTACTATAACTTTTCCAAGCCCAGCATGAGGATCCAGGATGAACAGGTAGTCCTGAAATGGTCATGCTGCTTTCCTTATCTTTTCATGATGGTGTTTATTCTTTAAATGTTTTTTTATTTATTGTTTTGTTCTGTGTGTTATAGCAGTTAGTTCAAGTCACCACCACTGTGCAGGACTGTGAGGCAAAAGGGAAAGAGAGTGCCATATATACCAAACTGTGTTTACTGATGTTATTTTGTATTGTTTTGATTTGTGCGTTTTGTTGACATGGCACTGAATGTTTGCCCTGTGGAGAGAAGATGGTCTATAAATAAAGTATTTATTTATTTATTTATTATTACTGTGCTCATTAGAAGGGAACAGAGTATACACGCAAGACATACTTTATTTCTGGTGTTGTGGGCATATTTTAAAAGAAATACTTCTTCAGACTAGAAGTCTGGTTTCCAATAAATACATAAAATCAGTGTGGTTTATTTGTCAGAAGATGTGTACAAGACTCCACTGTAAGGCTGCATTCCTACAGGCATAAATCCCATTGGAATTCATTGGTCTTTGCCTCAAGCAGCCATTGCTTGTGTGAGAGGCCTCAGGGTGCAGTGGCTTTGGTGGGAGACTAGTGTATGGATACCCTCTCAGCCACGGAAACTCACTGGGTGACCTTTAACAAGTCACACTCTCTCAGCCTCAAAGGAAAACAATGTCAACCCCCCACTGGACCAGTCTTATGGCCCTGATAGGTTTGCTCTAGGATCACTGTTAGTTAGAAATGACTTGAAGGCACACAACAGACAAACATAAGTGGTAGCATATTCCTAGTTTTGTTTTCTTCCTGTATTAGATTGACAATTCTGTGACTCTAGTCATGGCCTTTAAAAAACAAAACACCCTAATAACCTCAAGGAGACATAAATGAATAAGAGCACATTAAGAGAATGCTCCCTCTGGGAAGTCTCATTCTTTCTCCTTTTATGTTATGCTCTTGCTGACAAATAGCTCCTTTCCCAATAAGTTCTGATGTAAGATCTCCTCCATGAAATCGCCCTTTTCCCTTCTGGCACTTTTAGCTCATAAGAAGAATACTTCCTAGTTTGAGTGAATCATGATAACCAGGGATGTGACCCTGATCTAAGCTGATTAATCAATGTAGTAAAAGTCATGGCACAAACTAAAGATTTGCATAGAAGTGAAGGCAATAGCTGTGCCTGTCTTGATCCAAACACACCCTTTGGATCAATAGAAGATTTTCAGATACTCTTGACAGCTCAATCCAAAATAACATTCTCACATCAGTTAGTTGTTATTGTTTTGAATCTTTAATTATTTTTGAACTTGTGGTGAGCCTATAGGGTTTTATTGGCAAGATTTTTTTAGGCAGGGTTTGCCTTTGCCTTCCTGTGAGGCTGAGAGAGCTGTGACTTTCCCAAGAGTACCTGAGCAGGGATTTGATTTCTGGTCCCCAGAATCATAGCACAAGCCTCAAACCACTGCATTATGCTGTCTTTCTACTTCTGAATAACTGATCCTGGAGATTACCATCATCATGTGGCCATATTAATTATTTCAATTCCTTCAAAACATGGAAAGTGGGACCCAGGAGTTTTGATCCCTGTGATAAAACAAGGAGAGTCAGGTAACGAAAAGATAGTTGCTGTTGTTGTTTAGATGATGATGATCTAAATTCCTCCCCTGGTGGCATCACTGCCCAAGACCTCTCAATTAAAATCAATCTTCTGTACCTGGTTGAAAAGTACAGAGTGTAATTGGAGGAAAGGTGGGATACCACATTTCTATTCCACCTTTCCTCCAATGAATTTCAGGTACTTTTTATCCTCACAACAACCTCGTGAAGTGGAGTAGGCCAAAAGAGACCAATTGTTCCAAGGCCAGATAACAGGTTTAGGTCACTATAAAGCAGTGGTTCTTTTTATTGCTCCTACTATCACTTTTTTCACCCCCAATTTTCTTTGGTCTTCTTTTACCAATTGCTTTATTGTTATTTGTAGATATGTTGGTTTGCCTTGTTAGTTGCATTTTTAAATCCATTTTTTAAAATACTGCTGTTTGTGTACTGTTTTGGAAATCATTTTGCATTTATTTTTCTAAGAGGAAAATGTGTTTTGAAATAACCTTCAATAAATGAATGTAAATTAGACTGCCTTGCAGTCTGACTCTGTCACTGACAGCCTGATGGTTAAGCCAGTCTTGGCTTTTCCCCCGATACAGCTATGCGTTTCACAGTTCTTCCTGGCTGGTGGCTGGCAAGGCAGACCCTGCAACACCCGGGAGAGTCCATTACCACCCTGATTCCCCAGCTAGAGGTGCCCAGTGGATGAAGCAGATTGTCTCCTTTGATAAACTCAAGCTGACAAACAATTTGCTGGATGACAATGGACACGTAAGTCCTATGTGGAGAAAGCAGGTGGCTGTTGGGAAATAATGAATTTTTGAATACCTGTATTTGGGCCCCCGGTGGTGCAGTGGGTTAAACTGCTGAGTTGCTGAACTTGCTGACCAAAAGGTTGGCAGTTCGAATCTGGGGAGTGGGGTGAGCTCCTGCTGTTAGGCCCAGGTTCTCTCAACCTAGCAGTTTGAAAACATGCAAATGTGAGTAGATCAATAGATACTGCCTGGCGGGAAGGCAATGGTGATCCATGCAGTCATGCTGGCCACATAACCTTGGAGGTGTCTACGGAGAGGAGCACCCCCCCCCCCCCGAGTTGGACACGACTAGACTTAATGTCAGGGGAAACCTTTTACATCAGGGAATAGCTTGGACATGGGACCTAAGTCCAAACATGAAATTCATGTATGTTGTATGTATCCCTAATCCAAAAATATATTTTAAATAATTTGGTGCATGAAACAAAGTTTGTGTCCACTGAACTACCAGAAAGCAAAGATGTCATTCTCTCAGCTACCCATGTGGAGAATTTTGAGATTTTGGAATTCCGGATAAGGATGTTCAACCAATATTGCATTTATCCAAAATTTTGAACTGCAACTCATTAAAATAATAATGCTTTTATTACTATGCACAAAACCCAGTCTATTTCCTCTGCTGAACCTTCGAATAGTTAATAGTTAAAAAGTTAATGTAATTCAGGATATATTTGTCTGAAATTAAGTCTTTCTTGAAAGGAAACTTTACAGTCTGAAGTGGCTAGGACTTCATTTCTTCTCAGCATGAGAATGCTGTGATTGGATAATGAAATTATCCCTAGAGCCCATTTCACAGAAGGAGAACTGAGGCTTCGAGAGGCTGCCTTGCACAATGTGTCCCATAGTTTATTGCTGAGCAGGGACTCTGAATCTAGGCTTTCCTCTACAGTTCACGCTGTTCATTTATCACACTGTTCAGTCAAACTGGATACATATGCAGGCTTACTTAGGCTTAGGGCTAAGCATAGTTATGAGATAACTGTATATACGTCTACTTAGATTCACATGCAGAGGGATCTTGTAGCACCTTTGAGACTGAGAGAAGGAAATGGTAGCATACGTTTTTGTGAACATAGGAAGTAGACTCGGCCTATGAAAGCTTGTGCTGCAACTTCTTCTCCTTAGTTAGCAAATGCTAACCTCAGCTGCAGTAGACCCACTGAATCAATTGCTTGGGGGTGAATCAATGTTATGCATGATGTATTTATTATAGTTGAGATTAGCAATTCAAGATATACCTAAATTATAGGAATGTATTGTTAGAAACAAAGTAACAATATTGTGCAAACAACACCAAAACAAAAACAAAAACATAGAACACGCAAGATAGAGATTGGAGGAATCAAGAGGATGTTGGTTACACTCACAAGACTGCGGGATTGCAGTAGCCATCTCTGGCTTCCTCCTAAAGTAGCTTGCTGCCATAAATCCTTATTCATGTTGTGCATATTATTGAGTCCTTCTCAGAAAAGATCTCAAAGCAAGCAAACAAGCAGGCGGATTTTGAGCCTCATGCCACCACAAGTTCCCAGCCTGCTCTCATCCTGATACGCTCTGATCTGGTGACTGGAGTTGCATGGGGGATTCTTTTCTCATCTTGGTTTAGTTATACGACAGTAGACTGAATCAGTTAAATGATCTCCCTTGCTCGTTTTATCATTCAGATCATTTTGAACTCCATGCACAGATACCAGCCTCGCTTCCACGTGGTCTATGTGGATCCAAGGAAAGACAGTGAAAAGTACGCAGAGGAGAACTTTAAGACCTTTGTTTTCGAGGAGACCCGCTTCACGGCGGTGACCGCCTACCAGAACCATCGAGTGAGTATCTGGAGCTCATTAATGAGACTCAAACCTTCTCGTACTTCATTTATCAACAACAAAAAGCCCACCTCCCCACCCTGAATTTCCAGCAACATGATGGATGGCGGGCCGGAAAAGAGACGGCAGGAGAGGGAGATTGTTCAGAGCAGTCAATCAGTGATGCCAAAAGGAGAAAAAATGATCCATAAAGTGCTTTAAGGTGACGTGTTTCAGGTTTTTTTTTTCCAAAAAGAAAAAAAATTCGCTCCAGTACGATGAGACTAAACAGAGGGGATTCAGCTAGTATCTTAAAATGGTTTGCAGACTCCATTTTTACCAGTCATATGAAACTACATTGATACATTTGGCTTGAAACCTTTTTCTCTGTCTACCCTGAAAAACAAGAAACCAAGTCTCAAAAGGCACTAGAAGGAAATTAGAGTATTTATTTCCTTATGCGTTATGATTTTTCCTTATGACTTTGGGTATTTTTTCTTTATTCATTTATATCCTGCCTTTCTCTCGCACAAGAACCATGGCAACTTGTAATATAAATTAAAGCCAAATACAGCACAGAATCAATCATACTGTTAAAAATATCAGAAGAGTAAACATAATATGATAATATGATTTTTTTAAAAAAATTAAATAAAATCATTTAAAAGAATTTAAAATCTAACGAACGGGGGGAAAATACAGCACTCTTTCTGTAGCAATATGTTAATAGCCAAAACCCTGTCAAAATGATAAGACTTTTGCCTGCTAGTGAAATGAGACCTGAGACTGAGCCAACCAAGTTTCTGATGGGACAGAATTCCATGGCCCAAGAAGTAGCTACCAAGAAAGTGGTAGCCAGAATAATAGAATCATAGAGTTGGAAGAGACTGCATTTATTTATTTATTTACTACATTTGTATCCTGCTTTTTGCCCTCTAAGGGAACTCAAAGCGGCATGGGCCATCCAGTCCAATCCCCTTCTGCCATTCAAGAAAGGCACAATCCAAACACTCCCGACAGATGGCCGTCCAGCCTCTGCTTAAAATCCTCCAGAGAAGGAGCCTCCAGGGCAGTGAATTCCAGTGAGTTACAAAAGGGGAATCAAATATTCCTTGTAAACAGGCCTCATCACAAATGATTGACTTATGAAAACTTTCTAAGCTTAACACTCCAAGAAGGACTGGACCTATTGTAAAACCATGTCTTTAAGTTCCACCCCAAGAGGGAGCTCAGGAAAAATCCCACAATTTAAAAGAGGGGTTCAGAAAAACCAATAGCAATAGACTCTTCCTGTCCAACTCATGGACCATGTCATCCAGCAAGGCAACCAAGCTGTTTCCATCTCACAATCAAGGCTAAAACCAGATTGCAATAGATCTAGACTATTGCATGGCAGGAGATTGGACTGGATGCTCCCTGTGGTCTCTTCGAACTCTGATTTTATGATTATAGACAATATGATTTACCCAGGAACCTCAGAAGCTGGGAGATCATCATGCTCTCCAACAACTTGCCCAAGAATGAGGCATTGGAAATTTAGAATTATAGAGTCATAGAATCATAGAGTTGGAAGAGACCTCATGGGCCATCCAGTCCAACCCCGTTCTGCCAAGAAGCAGGAATTGCATTCAAATCACCCCTGACAGATGGCCATCCAGCCTCTGTTTAAAAGCTTCCAAAGAAGGAGCCTCCACCACACTCCGGGCAGAGAGTTCCACTGCTGAACGGCTCTCACAGTCAGGAAGTTCTTCCTCATGTTCAGATGGAATCTCCTTTCTTGTAGTTTGAAGCCATTGTTCTGTGTCCTAGTCTCCAGGGCAGCAGAAAACAAGCTTGCTCCCTCCTCCCTGTGACTTCCTCTCACATATTTATACGAGGGGTATTTTTTAAGTAAGGTCCGTTTGAACATAAGTACACAACGAAAGTTTATTTCAAAAAAGTACATTTATTTTCAGAAAGTACATACTTCATTCTATTTTTTGACATAGTTGCCAAGTTTGTTCAAACACTTATCATACCTCTGAACCAATTTTAAAATACCCTCTTCATAAAAACTTGCCGCCTGCTCCGATAACCAAGAGTTCACTGCCGTTTTCTTTGGTTTTGTGGTCCTCTGTTAGGAGTTTCGGGACTCAACAGGAGCACAGTTTCCTAAACTTTAGGTGATCAGAAACAATGTTGTAAAGCACTGATCTCGACACGTCAGGAAATTTGTTTGAAAGACCTGTTATTGTGAAGCGCCTGTTCTCACGAATCCTCGCTTCAACTGAAGCCACCAAATCGTCTGTAATCAAAGAAGGGCGACCGGAGCGGTCCTCATCATGGACGTTGTCACGGCCATCTTTGAATTATCGTACCCACTTACGCACTTTGCTTTCACTCATAACAGTACACTTCACAAATCTGTCAATTAATTTCTGCAGCAGGCAGGTTCCTTGCTGACAAAAACCGTATCACTGAGCGAACCTCAAATGCGGAGGGTGAGTTGATAGTCTTAAACATTTTTAAAGCACAGAACAGAACTGTACAGGTTAGCTACAGAGCGGAAACTGAGCACAGTTGTTCCTGAGGCATGCCGGTATATGACGCACGCGCTCGTTGCGGTATGCGCGTGAACTACTAGTGTCTACAACAAAACGGACCTTACTTAAAAAATACCCTCGTACATGGCTATCATGTCTCCTCTCAGCCTTCTCTTCAGGCTAAACATGCACAGCTCTTTAAGCCGCTCCTCATAGGGCTTGTTCTCCAGACCCTTGATCATTTTAGTTGCCCTCCTCTGGACACATTCCAGCTTGTCAATATCTCTCTTCAATTGTGGTGCCCAGAATTGGACACAATATTCCAGGTGTGGTCTAACCAAGGCAGAATAGAGGGGTAGCATGACTTCCCTGGAACTAGACACTATATTCCTATTGATGCAGTAATCTCCTATTGATGCAGTAATCAACTTGCTGGTAATCACCCAGTACAGTAGAGTTCAGGGACATCTTCTTCAGCACCGTCCTTTCCACCATCTTTATTCAAAAGACCCAAATCCTGATTTGTTGGAACAAGACCTTGGCCACTGGCCTTTCCCACTTGGCCAGTCCCCCTCTGGCCACATTTATGAGCCAGGAAGGGCAAGGATCCAGCACAGTTGGGATGACTCGCACCTCTCCAGGCATCCTGTCCACACCCTCTGGCTGCACAAACTGAAATATCTTTTGCAAGCTGAGGCTAAAGTTATATCCACGGGACTTATACAATGGCTGCATCCAAGTTGAAGCAGATGTGTCTGCAGTGTTACACAGATTCTTAACAGTGGGCTGTCAAGAGGTCTGCACTCAGTAGCCTCCTGTGAGATTCACAGGTTTCATATGCCAAAATGCTATCACTTACGCTAGATTGCTGAAAACTGCTTTTGGACACTCTTATGCAGGCAAAACTTGGGAAAGCTGACAGTTTTGGACTACAGCACCCACTTCCCCTCAGTTAACATAACTGCTCAGCAATTCTGGGAATTGCACTTCCCCTCAAAAGGTTTCCAAGCAATTCTAGAAGTCATTTCTAATGAAGCTGGTGGGACTTACTTCCAAGTAAATGTAACTGATCTAGACACTGGGTTTAAATGCTTAAAATGTATCCATCCATTCACAAATGGAACGCTGCCTCTTCCAATAAAGCTAATAATAGTCTAGAGAAGTTCGGGTTTTTTCTTCTCCAGCCAATGGCCACTCTTAAATCCAAACAGTGATCAAAAGGAGAATGGGAGCTATGCTGAAATAGAAACTGAGCCTGAATTATGCTCTGTAATGTCCCTAATGAATTCTCATATTTGACTCACATTCAATTGCATTTGTGTCCTGCTCTTCCCCCAAAAAGAACAAAAGATAGAAAGAGCAGCAACCTCACAAAAGTCAAGTAAGCAAGCTAGTTCCAAAGAGTGACTTGATCAGAGTAGCTTCCTTCTAGCTGAGCCGTGAACCTCAATTACTCATTCAAAACCAGTTGTGTATTTCTTGGCACTTAAAAGTGCCAAAGTCATAATCATATGAACTGCTTACTCCAGTTTAAGTTCAATAAGACTAACCCAAAGAATACCTGATTTGTAGGTTTTTCCAAGTATTGCTAAAGAGTAATTTTGCCTATTAACCCGCCTAAAGAAATATAGAGCCTTAACAGAATTCTCAGCATTTTCACTAAAAACAAACAAACAAACAAACAAACAAAAACCCCTTTTCCATAATATCTTGGGTCGAGGGAAGCCACGAGTGCTAGGAAAATGTACTTTTTTGGACTATAACTCTTGGAATCTCTAAACCACTGCAGGCTCACTCAGGAATACCAGAAGTAGTCCAAAATGTAACTTTTCAGAGCTTTGGAAGCCGTAAAAACTCAATCGGTTTGAGCTGGGATTATTTTTTAAAGTTTGACTGACCTATTGAGGGTTCTTATGAGAAAAGAATCCACATGACGTGGCAAGCTTCATCTCACTGTATTCCTGCCCAGCCATCGCTTTCTGCATGGCTGGCAGTTCCTCCCTCTGAATAACACTGCATTCAGCCTTTTCAATCTCAGTGCAAGTTCTGCAGACTGTCTGGGGAAATATCCTCGTTCTCTCACAGTTTGTCTGCTAAACCCGTTGCTTGGTTTCTGAAGGAATTTGATCACCCTGGGAGGGTTTGCTGTATTATTCCTCCAAAAGAAGCTGGCAAGAGCTCTATGTTTTGCCATTTTCCTTTTTGAAATCCTGCCCACACAAAAAATATCCATGGAAGTCAAGAAGACATCATGGCTTCTGCACAGCTCCAGCCCTATCTGAGGAAGTGTAAGCAGCACACACCCCAGACAGTGCAATTCTCAAAAACTGGCTGGTCTGGAAACCCACTCTCACTCAGAACTGGCTTGGTTATCCTTTTGCCTTGTAGCAAATATCAGTCTGGAGTACATATCTCAATATACTGGAAATGACGTTACATAAAAAGATACTACATTTTGTTTGTATGCATGGGCGAGAGAAAAATGACAAGACAGAGTTTTGAAGATCACTTGTCAAAATAAATAATGAAGTGGTATATACACTTGATTGACTTAAGGCTAAAATTATAATTTTGTTAAACTTAACCTACTAGCACCGCAATCTTCTAAAATGCCTCTAGAACCAGAGAAGGCCTTTGAAATTTTGTTTCCATCCCAAGACAAAATATATTTACCCCTTGTGTGGTCATGAGTATCACAAGTTTAATCTATTTTCTTATATGAGATTAGTTTCCCTAAGGATGTGAAAAGAACTAAAGGTAGCTGGAAACACACGGGCACTTAGGAAGGTATGCACCAAGAGTGCATCCATGCAATATGGCAAAGCCTTAAGTTGCATCAGTGGTGGGTTTATCATAAATAAAGTAAGATGCAGATTAAAGCCTTGAAGTGTTATGTCTTCAAGTCATCAGTCGACTTGTAGAAAATGTGGAGCTTCTAAGTATAAAAATGACTCATTTTCACTCTCAGAAAGGCTACTTTTTGGAATTACAATTCCTAGAAACCTTGAAAGGCTATGATGAGCCATGCATTGGAGGAATTCAGGGACTTCTCATCCACAGAGTGACTTTTGAGGCTCTGGCTGGATAGGTGTTTATGAAACTTTTCTAAGGTTAAAAGTGCCATGACAAGAGGCAAGTGGAAGAGTGCTGATGAAATATGTCTCTGTTATGATTCAGTAGATGAGAGCAATCAAGAGGGAGTTTAATGATTGCGATTTGATGATCAGAAGATCAGCAAATAGCGGTCCTTGGAGTAAGCGGCTGTGCCTTTAAGAGGCTCCGGGGGCCCTCCCAGGCAGGCCTTGGCATGATGGCTCAGGACAGCTGCGTCTTCTCTTCTGCTTTCTATCACTTTGACCTCTAAGGCTGGAACTGTCACTAAGGGGCTTAAAGTTTGTTTTTCAACCCATTCCGGAAACTCACAATCACATACTTTATCCATGGATTTGCTTAAATATAAGGGGGGAAATTGCCCTGTCTTTCTCCCTGGTGAATTCAAGAAATACATGGTTACTCTACGATGATACCATGAGGGAAGTTACTTAGCAATGGCTGGTTAGGGAGGCATATAAAGGGGCATTTCCTTACAAATGTGTTCGCATCTCGGGTAGACCACAGCTTGGGGTCTTCCTCACTCCCAGCCTGTGAATTTGTGTTATGTAGCATACAGTCCTGCATTTGGAGCAGAGAGGAAGACCGCATGGTTGAATTCCTAAGAAGGAAAAAGATGTTGGTGACAAGGGAGCAAACTTCAAAACAGATTTGGTGCCGGTGCAGCAAAGGGGCCTTGGCATGAAATAAATAGAAACAAGACCAAAACAAAAAGTGTCTACAAATACATTTAATAACTTTGTCATTCCTTGTCCAGCAGCCAGTTTACACAGAGTGCACCTATACTGTAGAATCCAGGGAGTTGTAGTTTTCTAAGATCTTGAGCCTTCTCTGCCAATGAGTGCTGGTACCTCACCAAACTACAACTCCCAAAATTTCATAGCACTGGGCCATGACAGTTAAAACAGTGTCAAACTTCAGTAATTCTACAGTGCAGTTGAGGACACTGATCATAAGAGTAATTTGATCCAAACCAACCTGTTCCACATTTCTTAAGCAAATGGGCAGATTGGATAGCGTTTTGTCCTCCTGATGATGTACATGTCTGAATTATTGTGATACAATTCTTGGTTCAAAAACAAGTTCCAAAATGTATGTTGGGTGATTTCAGAGCCATTTATAAATGTATATCTTGGGACAAAGTATGTTTCAAAATGTTCATTTTAATGCAGATTTATCTGCCAAACTGGAACAAGTTTGCAGGTGAATGGGGCAGAGTGAAATGGATTTATAAATACACATGCTGGAAACCTCCATCCTTGACACTTTTAAACCCTTAAACCACACTTCTACAGCAGAAAGTTCAAGCCCTACCCAACATAAAGGACCCTTGGTAGCAGGCTGAATACTAGGCTGTTTCAAACCATAGCAGTGCATATTTTGACTGTATATGTTTCTGTTCATAATTTCAAGCAGCTTTTGTTGACAGCATGCTAGCTGGGGAGGTATAGTTTGACTTATCTGAAGATTACTGGTTCAGGGAAAACAGACTTAGGCTGGACAGACAAATTCAGACAAATGTTAAGGTCTATTTCCCCCAAACTCCACCAGTGTTCACATTTGGGCATATTGCGTATTCATGCTAAGTGGAGGAGCATGGCTTCTTAATGGCCAGTCTTTCCACTCTCTGTTTTAATTGATACCATCATTCCTCGGGTTCTCTAAAGTCTCTCCCCTTCCTCAAATCTCTTTCTCCAGATCACCCAGCTCAAGATTGCCAGTAACCCTTTTGCTAAAGGATTCCGAGACTGTGACCCTGAAGACTGGTAAGGCTGCCGAGTCCTCCCACCCTTTTGTATTCCTCTACTAAATTCCCTTTCACACTACACAATTCTAATTCTATATTCCACTCTAATGGTCATGGCAACTTCCTATAGAAGAGGGCCATTTGAGTGAAATGGCGAGTCTTGCAAAAGCAGAACATTTACACTGTGGTCCGCAGCAGGGGATCTTGGCTGTGATGTATGTATTTCTTATGCTGATACTGGAGTAAAATAGGGCCTGATTTGGATGTGTGAGTCAGATGTAGGAGTTGATTCAAGATGGGGCTATCTCTAGGGGCCAGTTAGGACACAATGGCAGGAACTCCATGGTCAAATCTCTAGTCATATTTGAAACTGGTCTGAAGGTTTAATCTATTAAATAATAACAATCCTACAGTTATTTTAAGGTATCTTTCAAGAGTTTTTCAAACCTATTTTGAATGTCTGAATCTTAACTGGAACAGGATCACAATGCTGCAAGAGGACAGCCAAGCATCTTTCCGAAAATGCTTTCATTAATAGGCAGGTACTAAACAAAATCTGAATCTTTTAAATAATGTACGCAGCCCCCATGTTGGCAGGGTATACGTTCCCGAACTTACCATGGAAACAGGAAATAATGGATAATAGCAAACCCTATTTAAATGAATCACTTCTGTCAAATGTTATCATAGCATTGCTTTGAAAAACCTAGAAAGTACGCAGCGACAATACCTGGCTGGGGAGAGGATACCTCTCTAGGAATCTGTTAGATCCTCTGGTAACTTCCAGCATAGGCATTTCCATAGAATGTCCTAGAGGTTCTAGAAATTTCTTGGAGATGTCATATTTTATCAGATGCAGGTCAAACAGGTCAAACAGGAATGGGGGTTATAGTGTAAAACAGTGTTTATCAAATTGGGGGTCGGGACCCATGTGGGGTCATAAGGGGGTCTTAGGAATTCCTTTGGCAGAGAAGACTGAAGGTCTCTATGCCTGTCCTCTTCTTTTTTGGAAACAGATGGTGAATCCTCCCACCAAAAGGCCTCCTCCTGCTGTGATTGGCCAGCCTCTCAGCCAAGGGGAGGGTTGTTTCTGAGACTCCAAGCAGGAAGGGGAGAGCAGGTGTGCTCAGCGCATGGTAGCATGGTGAACATGAGCGGGTGAGGGAGAGCCCAATTCTATCAATGGTGGGGTTCAGGATGCTCTTTGATTGTAGGTGAACTATAAATCCCAGCAACTACAACTCCCAAATGTCAAGGTCTATTTTCCCCAAACACCACCAGTGTTCACATTTGGGCATATTGCGTATTCATGCCAAGTTTGGTCCAGATCCATAATTGTTTGAGTCCACAGTTGTCTCTGGAGGTAGATGAACCACAACTCCTAAACTCAAGGTCAGTCCCCACCAAACCCTTTCAGTGTTTTGGGTTTGTCATGGGAGTTCTGTGTGCCAAGATTGGTTCAATCCATGGTTGGTGGAGTTCCGAATGCTCTTTGATTGTAGGTGAACTATAAATCTCAGCAACTATAACTCCCAAATGAAAAAAGCAATCCCCCCCAACCCCACCAGTATTCAAATTTGGCCGTATCAGGTATTTGTAACAAATTTGGTCCAGTGAATTAAAAAAATCCTGCATATCAGATATTTACATTATGATTCATAACAGTAGAAAAATTACAGTTATGCAGTAGCAACTAAAATAATTTTATGTTTGGGGGTCACCACAACATGAGGAAATGTAGTGAGAGGTTGCGGCATTAGGAAGGTTGAGAAACCCTGGTATAAAGGTTTTAGATTTTGTCCTTGGAGAAGAGTTCAGTTTGGTTAGATTCTGGTAGTATATATACATTATTTGGCGAAGCCTCCTCCATTCTGGCCTCTCTAGATACATTGGACTACAATTTCCAGGCAGCTTGGCCATTGCCCTGGCAGTGTTGGCCATCTTGACTGATTTGCCTTTCCCATTTCAAAAGCATTTTCGATTCTTATAATGCAGGACAACCCCATTCTTCTTTTCTTTCCCTCCACTGTAGGCCCAGAAATCACCGACCTGGGGCCCTTCCTCTCATGAGTGCCTTTGCCAGATCCCGAAACCCCGTGTCTTCTCCGGTGCATCAGAACGGAACTGAGAAAGGTTAGTTTGGAAGTCAGGTGTGGAAAATATACTCTCCAGGGACTCCAGCACTGTTTCTTTTTTGTGGGAGGCCATTTAACATTGGCAGATAGGTTGTTCTTAATTTTGCCTATTTGCAGGTCCTTCTTAGGGGAGGAATAATTATTTTTCCCTTTCATTGTGCTTCAAACATTGTTAGCTGTGAAGACTTTCAGAGGGTTTAGACCCCACCTAATAAAAAATGGGAGTTCAGGACTCCCCTATTTCCCTTATCCCCATCTCAAGGTCCTTGAATCTATCTCTCACATACCTCAAAGTTATGAGTTTCCAGGGATGTTATGATTATCCAGATTTTGCTCTCCTTTGGAAAGAGGTGTTTGAAAGCTTCTTGGAGCTGTGTAATTCTCCTATTTACTTCCAAATGTTCAGGCTGAGCATAGGTCCGCGCACATCATGGCAATGCTTGAACAATTTCCTGAGTTTCCCCTGCTTGGGACATTCTTGAAGCACAATTTCTCTACTTATAGTACAATTTGAAACTGGATTTTCTGTCCTTCAAACCAGGGAGGCCTTGTTCATGATGGTGTGGAGGGAGAAACATCCTTCTCCCTCCTACTGTGTATTCCTTTTGGTGGGTGATTTTCTCCAGGGCTTTCAGGCTGTGGTCCACCAGATGTGCTGGGGGAGAGTTTCCCCCTCTCTGATGGATCTACATCAGGAAGCAATTGGAACTTGCCTAGCAGAAAGAGATACTTGCCAAGCTTTCAAGATAACCTCCTGACCAAACCCCAATCTTGGAATAATAGATTCATTGACTTGGGAGTGACCAAAGGCTGTCATTTTTGATATGAACATTGCTGTCAATGCTGCTAAGGCATTGCCTTCCTTTCTCATTAATTGGTTAATTTATATCTTGCCTTTCCACAAATGAGCAGCATACAAGGCTCTCCATCTCGCCATTCAATCCTTAGAGCATCCCTGCTAGGAAAGAGTGTGAGTGGTTTAAGACTGCCCTGTGAATGTCATGGTTTAGTCAGAACCTGCATCTGGATTTTTCCAGTCTGTCACTCTGATAACTACAACTCACTACTTCCCATGCTTTGGCATGGCAACAATTTGCAGAGCACCAGGCTTGGTATTCCTTTGCTATTCCCTGCCAGACGTACAATAAATCCTGCCCCCAAGGATCCCTTGGCACATTGAAGACTAAACTGGGCAATCATGGCATCACTCGTCTGCCAAGAACATCTGTTAGAATAACTGTGCTAGTCCCTTCAGGTGCCAGAAGATCCTCCCTGGGTGCTGTGAAATTTTTCAATAGGATTTTAGAATCAGGGACCTTGCTCTGCTAGGGAATTCACCCTGCACCCAATCCTTTAAATATTCACTTGGCTTTCAGTGGTGTGACACATAGGAACTGAAAATTAAGGGTGATTAATAGTCAGATTTGCTAACTAGTTGAGGCACAGCACCTGGATATTTGCCAGTATGGTTTATAGGCTTACAAGAAGAAACATCTCATTCACAAAGGGAAAGGAGTTGAAGAGGGATTTGGAGATTGGGAGCCGTATCTCCTTTGCTTTGTTTCTACGGGTCACTCTGGTGATTCTTCTAGGCATTTGCTGTTAAGGCAGCCACATTCCAAGCGCTTACTTGCTTGAGACAGCAAACTGTATAAATTGACTATTTATCCTTTTTAAGCAACTGGGCCTAAAGTTATTCTTCACAGCTGTATCCTCAATCTAGTGCCCTCAGTTTGCATAAAAACATGATAAATATTCTGTATTGGGTACAAAAGAAGCCTCCCAACAATGAGATACTGCATTGGAGATCCTGACATTGTTGCATTTCATTTTCCACAATCGTTCATTTTTTAGCTGTGTTGGTTAAGGCTCGAGAGGAGTTTCAGTCTGACATGATTTGAAAGGCCGCAGTTGCCTACTCCTGTAGTAATAGTGGGTGCATTCTGCAGCTGCTCTACTGTAGCATAGTAGTTGTCATTTACACAGCATTCATTGTACTGCTAGTTTAAAGTCACTTATGCCTACATTGTTGTTTACTTTCATGTCATTTCTGACTTATAATTAACCTATTACAGGGTTTTCTTGGTAAGGTTTGTCCAGAGGGTGTTTGCCTTTGCCTTCCTCTGAGGCTGAGAGAGTGTGACCCACTCAAGGTCACTCAGATTCTGGATGAATCTTGCCAAGAAATCCCTGTGAGATGTTTGTCTTAGAGCTGGAAATGATTTAAAGGCAAACAACAACAAGTTAGATCATTGGTCATGCTAGCTGAAGGAGTTTGGGAGCCACAGTCCAAAAAGTAACTTTTCCAGCTCTGATAATGGCTTGCCTTTATAGTGTTTAATGTTGCATCTTATATTTAAATGCACAAACACTTGAATTTTGAAATGTTGAACTAGGATTAATATTTTTTTAAAAATCAAATGAGTAAAATATCTCGAATAAGGAATTTGGGGGAAAATACTTGTTTATTATAGATACGCTTGCTTCTGGTGAATGTAATATCAGTTTCCATCTAAATATTTTTTCTGAAAAAAAAAAGAAATCCTATCAAACACCTTTTAAAAACCACATCAACAAAAGTATGCTATTCAGTAGGTAGATTTCACCTCCTGCTACTCCCCTCCCCAAGTTACCCATTAGGAATCTTTCCTTGATTCCATTTCCATTACATAGAGTAAACAGTTGCACAGAGAAAGCTGGGGGCCCTTTTCCCCAGCACACTCCAGGCCGATTTAGAATAAAAAGAAGTCTCTATTTGTTTAGTGTTATACAATTGCAAAAATTTCAAGCGTGTGCAAACTTGTCACTCAACTCAGCTCTATTTATCACAGTCAGAATGTCTCGTCCCAGGAGGGCAGATTTCTGCTGAACGCAATGTTAAACACTTCATTTCAGAAAGAAAGTTTTTTTTAAAAAAAGCTGCTATTTCTGGCATTCCTCTCCTTGTCTCTGTTAACATAATATCGTTGCACTAAGGAACAACAACAGAAAAGCTCTCTTTTTGTTTTGCGTTTGTTTAAAAACAGGGTGACATTGACCTGAGTAGTCTCTATAGGTGGGTGGGTGTGCATGTGTGCCAAAGGTATGTCTAAAGCCTGACGCTGTGCTTAAAGAAATATAAAACCAACCACCTCCTTTAGTCCTTTTGGAGTAGCTGCAATTCTTGGTTCAGAATCCTTCCACGCCATTAAAACAGGACTTTACGGCAGACGTCCATGTGTCACCCAGCAGAATGAGTACCAAATGAGGTTTGGGATGCAGTAGGGTTGGTTGACCACATTTTGAAGGAACTCGAGACCCCCCTTCCCTCTAAGACACATATTTCAAACTCAAGGCCTGTGGGCTGAATCCGGCCAAACACATCATTTTATGTGGCCCTCCAGATGCTGGCCTGCAACTCCTGTATTTCTCATCATGAGTCGCCATGACTAGAGAATGGCATATAACCAAAAGTGATGTGAGTTGTCATTTAATAACATTTGGGGACCAAACTGGGTAAAAACTAAAGAGCACCAACCACCATGTAAAAAGAAATTATAGTTGGCTCTCTGTATTAATGAACTCTCCATGTATGTATTCAATGAATCTTTGAAGGAAACCATAAGGTGGGTCTGGCCCTCAATGAAAATGAGTTTGACACCTCTGGTCTAAGATTTAAAAATATAGGCTGTGATTCTGTATCACAGTCTACTTGAACAACTATTTGCACAGTTACCAACATAGCAGGACTCTCCTAGTAAATTGTGAAGATGCGTATCAGGGCACCAGCAAGTGTCCCAATATGTTTTGGGCTCTGAAGCATTCTTTTTTTGGACTACAGATTCCCATAGTCACCATAAATACTGGCCATCAGGGTTGTAGAACTGTAGACAGAACTAGTCTACCATGAACTTCATCTGTGGTAAAGTTAGACAACACTGAGCTCCTTGACTTTTTATGTGTTGGCTGGTTCTCTCTCCCAGTGCTGGGTTTGCCCAACTCCCTGACAACTGACTGATTCTTCTGCATTCTCCTCCTTCTCTTGCATGCCTTGCAGATGCAGCAGAAAGTCGGAGGGAATATGAGCGGGAAGCAGCCGGTGGGACCCCTCTCCACGCAGATCCTGCCCACCAGCAGCTCATGTCGAGGGTCCTGAGCCCAGCGCTCCCTGTGCCTGGGGGAGGAGGCCTGGTCCCACTCCCCAGTCCAGCGAGCAGCCGGCCCAGCCCCCCACACCACGAACTGCGGCTGGAACCTTCGGCTTCGGAGCCCCTTCACCACCATCCCTACAAACACCCAGTCTCAGCTTACGACCATTACCTGGGAGCAAAGAGCCGACCCACACCCTACCCTTTGCCCAGTATCCGGGGACACAGTTACCACCATCACCACCACCACCACATGAATCCAGCAGCAGCTGCAGCTGCGGCTGCAGCTGCGGCCGCAGCCAACATGTATTCCACTGCGGGCGCTCCAACCAGTTATGACTATGGACCAAGATAACATCCCTGAAGTGAGGTCCTGGAGCTCTGATGGGCTTTCTGCATGGTTTGAGTTGCTCAGTAGCATTCGGTTTTTTTGGAGAGCACTATTTTGTCAAAAGAACCGGCCCCTAGACTCCTTGTTTCCTTCCTCTCTCACACAGGTTTTCTCCTCCTCCTCTTCCTTCTCGTTCCCACTTGCACCATCAGATTCATCATTCAAGACTGGGTTTCTTTCTTTCCTTCCCCATCCCGGGGGATGAAATGACCAGCCCGTTTTTCCTTGGCAGACCAGGCGGGCGTGATGGATGGAGGCCGGGGCTTCCGCTGAAGTGTTCTGCTCCACCTGCTTCCATATCTGAACGATGCTGTTCTCTTTCCTCCAACCCTTCCCTGGACACAGTGATTGGCAGCTGGACTCTTTTCCTTTGCTTTCTAAATGAAGCCATATGTTGCATTATTCCCTTGCAGCTGTCATCATAGTAACCTTTTAGCGACTATGCACTTCTTTCCTTCTTCAGAGTGCCCAATGAACACCGCAGTTTATAGGTAGGTCAGGCCATTTTGTCAATGGGACTGCAAACCAAGAGGGTAGAATTTCTGTTTTGGCTAACACGAACCTAAGGCTGTCTGTGGTGGTATAAACCAGGGACAGGGAGCATGTGTCCCTCCAGATGTTGCTGGAATTTAGTAGCTCTGGTTCCTAACCATTGGTGAAAAAGGAGAGACCTAAAAGCAAGGAAAACTCCAAGTGATGTTTTCTGAGACTATTGGCAGTCTTTTCTCTATGTTGCTGCTTAAGTATCCCCTTTTAGTTTATTCTACCAAACTGGACAATGATTGATTGATATATATATATATATATATATATATATATATATATATATATATTCTCAGATAACACATTTGCTAGACAAAGGAAGCTGCTGTGGTTTAAGATGTACATCAGTTGTCTTTGGACACGTTCTCTTTGTTGACTAGTTCCTTAGCCTCTGTCTTTTGATGTAGGTAAGAGTCTGAGCAATTTTGGATTTAGGTAAGATTTAGAGAATAGAGCTTATCCTCTAAAACAAGCATGGGCAAACTTTGGCTTTCCAGGTGTTTTGGACTTCAGTTCCCACAATCCCTAACGGCTGGTAAGCTGGCAGGAATTTCTGGGAACTGAAGTCCAAAACACCTGGAGGGCAGAAGTTTGCCCATGCCTGCTCTAAAAGCAGTCCAGTCAACCTTCTGTTGCCTTTTGCCATTCATCCAGGTCTGTTTAAGGCTACCCCACTATATGCACACTCTCTTGACAGAAGGTCTCATTGAATTAAGTGAGGCCTTCTGAAGAACCATGTCTCCAAGTGGGCTGCTGGTATAGCAAAGTGTCAGATACTGTTTCTGACTGCTTTGCAAGGAATTTTAGAGGAAATTGTCTTATTCTTAGACTGTTGGTCCCTCTAGCTCAGTATTCTGTCTCAGAGGTGAGACTGACGCAGCTCCCATCAGGCTTAACCAAAAAAGGCATTGCTCCTAACTGGTTGCAGCTCTCCAGCATTTCAGATGCATATTCAACCTGAGACCTTTTGTACACAAGACACAGAGCTTGAAAAGTACTGATGCCTTAATCTGAAATTGTGAGTAAAATCTTGTTTATTGATAGGTAAAGTGTTATGAAAAGATACAAAAATAGTGTGTTGATTGTTAAATCATCACATTTAACCCCCTTAGGATTGCTAAGAAGGATACATGATGATCTTCCCTCTCTCTCCATATTACCCCCTATGAGAAATAAGAGATCTCAAAGTCAGTTTGATCCAAAATCCTGCTGACATAGATCATCAATTGTTACAGTATCCCTGATAGGTTTTCTGAAGAGTATTCCTAATAGTTTACCTGCTGCTACAATATCTCCAATAATGAGGCCATGGATCCTGTATTTCAAAACCTCCAATGAAGAATCTATTGGCTTCCTAGGCAGTCTCTTCCACTCTTGAACTGCTGGCATCATTAGAAAGTTCTTCCTAATATTGAAATGAACTCTCCTTTCTGGGAATTTGAATCTCTTGATTCAAAACCAACCTTCAGCAGAGCAGGAGATGCCTCTGCACTCCATAGAGAAAGTGATCCATTGATAATTGGTTTATGGCTTCAGGGGCCATAAGAATATGGTTTCAATCTGTTTAGGCCATTTATACCTTCATATCTTGCCTAAAGATACTCAGGCTTTGCATGTGACTTCCTCCTTATTTCTTTCCCGCATTTTCAGTTCCACAGGCTGCTTCTTGCTCCTTTTCATGAACATCCCTTATTCTCTCACCATCCCCGTATTTGTGACTAATATCTGCCTCACATTCAGCAAAGATTTCTTTGCTTCCGGAAAGGTTTGGTAAGGTTCTGTCACCCAAAACTGCACAACAATCCTGGATCCAAGTTAACATATTTTTCAAGGGGGAGGAATACATTTTAAGCATTATTTTGATATTTGCAGTGGAATTGTAAGTTCTTTCAGTTGTTGTACTAGATTGTCAAATAACTGTTGTTCAAAAGACTGGCGTACCTTGTCTCATTGTGAGCTCAAAAAAAATGCTCTGCCTGTGCAACCTTTCGCTTTGCTATTCCCACTGGATGGTCGGGTGGATCTCCCTTTCTGTTACATGGATGTGTGCCAAAGCTTTTGGTCATACCTGTTGTAATGTGGGTATATTTATTCTGAATTGTTTCTTTTTCCTCCCCCCTCCCCCGGCTCCCAGCAGTTCTGCAAGTCATGGTGTTGTTGTTGGGTTTTTGTTTTTGTTTTTTTTGTTTTGGTCCTGGATAGTCGCAGTGTAAAGAGAGAGAAAAATGAAACTCAACCAAAGAGTCATATCTGCAAAGACTGTAGATAATCTGTAGATATGTGTAGATATGTATAGATGAGCTTACCATGGTTACATTGGGGGGAAGGGGGGAAGATGGCAAACCATAACATTTATAAAAGGTATTCATCTTACTCCTTTCTCCATCTCTTGTCTTATTGGGTTGCCTTTCAAAATGGCCTGTATATCATTGTGTGTTATAACATTAAAACCAGAACATGGTAGTCAATGTGTTCCAATTCACACTCTTAGCTGCAATACATTACCTTTTTTTGGTAACAAGGTTGTCATTTCAAAAGTGGCATAAAAATGACATTGTTGTATGGGTAAAGCAGAGCCCACCCATGGTGTTGGATTTCAGTCCCCATCAGCCCCAGCCACATAAAGCCAATGAGGAGGAATACTGGGAGTTGCAGTCCATGATCATCTGGAGGCCTACATTTTGCCCACCTTGACAAGTGACATTTTCTACAGTATGGCCTCCATATCCATGGGGGATACATTCCAACACACGCACACATACACAATGGATACCAGAAACAGCAGATAATAGCAAGCCCTATTTTGACTATACTTAGGATATAAACATACCATGGAACCACACTGAAGGACCTAGAGAGGCCCACAAATACTATTTTTGTAGGATGGGTAAGTGAAACCATGGATACTGAATCCATGGATAGGGGCTCCTACTGCATTTTCTAGAGTTAGCTTTGAAGGGCCTTTTCAGAGACACCTTGATAGAAACTTCTCAAGCTTTCTGTCAATCTCTTAGTAATCCAAAAGTAACAATCACAACAAAAAAAGCAAACATAATGCATTGCTATCCCAAACAACTACTGTCAAACTTGATTTTCAGGGGGGGAAAACAGTTTTCAAGCTCCAGTACCAGCCACATCAACAGACTCCACTCTCTCACAGACACACAAATACACACTGCCTTACACTCCAGGAGGTTCATTTCGCAGCCCACCTCTCAGATCCTAAAAGTGTTCCAAGCAGTGCTTTACACTGTCTGTCCCATAAGACTAGTCCTTGTGGACATCTGTGAATGTCAAGGCAGCCTAGGATGCCATGCAAGTGAACAGTGGCTCTCCTGCTCCCAATCCAGCCTATGAGGACAGGAGCAGGCAAGCGCCTGCACTCTCGGTACCAATTTCCCATCCCCAGGACCTTTTATGGGACTATACCAATCTTGTTGATGGATGAGTAGGCACAAACACTGTTTAAAAGATTTCTGCCCTCTAAGTTTCAAGGAATAACCACTTGGGAAGCAGGGAGTGCTTGTTTTGGGTTTTTCGTCATTGATAGATTCCAGGAAGGGCCCAGAAGCTACAAAACCGGGATTCCTGCTGTTTACATGATTTTCTCTCTGTCTCCAGGAAACTCTATAGCTAGTCACATCATCCGTGTTGTCATTCCTTCCAGTTCCAATGTTCAGGCTGGGAATGCTGTTCATCATGCAGCTAAAATAAATAGCCAGTGACTGTGTTGGCTTGAGGTTTCCCTCCAAAAGGAACCTTTTATAACTGCATTTTGGAATAGGCTTCCCTTTCCTATATTGCTTTGGCTGAACAAACTCAGGGCTTTCTTTATCATACTTTTAGTCCCTCTAACCTGCCATTTTTGACTGCTAGTGTTCCACCCACTGGCAGTAGGTTGGCCTCCCCAAAAGGGGGATGTGTCACCAAGAGAAAGAAGAGGAAAAGGAGGAGGAGGAACTGCCATGTGCATTAAGTTTGTATAAACTCATTGTTATGGAGAGAGGAAAATGGAGAAACAATCCTTTTAATTTAAAGAGATAGACCATCTTGAAAGTCATTGTATTTTAACAGTTGGAATTTTGGACAACGACTTCACAAGACCAGTGTTTGAATCCCACCTCAGTTAAGGAAACCAACTTTGGGCAAGCCATAGTCTCTCAACCTCGGAGACCATGGCAAGCCTTCTCTGAAATCCCTGTGGTAAGTTGGAGCTAATGTGAAAGCACATAACAACGAATGGTCCATCTCACCATTGTGGGGGAGACTAAGACAAAATGACCCGCATTCCTAATGATCTGCCTAGGGGATGCCTATTGTGAATGGCATAGTCAGGGCTTCTCCTTCTTGGGCTCCTGGCTTGGAATAGTTAGCTGTTAAGAAGAGGCAGTTTACCAGCTGTTAGGATCTCTGGGAGTTGAAGGCCAAAAACATCTGGGGACTCCAGGTTGAGAACCACGGCACTACACAATCTTTCCACAACACAGGCCAGGGATTGAGCATGGGATAACCTCCATGCAAAGCTCATGCTCTGCTACTCACCCATGGGTCTCCCATTAAATAGGAAGATATCCTAGAGTAGCCATGTTGAATATGGTCAGCATAGCTCTTTTGGGTCTTAAACAGGGTTGGTTCCCATCATTCCATGTGGAACTAACGGTGATGGGGTTTGAACCCAGAACCTTTGTGTGTATAACAAGCTCTCTCCCCACTGACTGCATAATTTCCAAGCACAGAATTGCTATTGAAGTGGCTGAATCTAAAATCAGGAAACCTGTCTAGCATGAATCTTGTTGAGCACTAATTTGGTACATATTTTGCAAAATGTCAGCTCTTGGAGCCTAAACAGGATATTTGCAAAGGCATAAAAATAGTAAAGTATAAAGCTTTGTGAAATGGTGGATAATGCCAAGGGCACAGGCACTGGTCAATCCAGGTGAGAAGCCTACCTAACTATAAATGGAGATAAGCCCATGAGGAGTTGCAAAAGGATGATGGACAAATAACCACCCCAACTGTAAAAGGCTTTACCAGTCTCAGATGGCTGATGCAATCTGACAGAAGGCAACCAGGAACCTCTGGTCCCTCTGTGTGAAGGCACAGAGGAAAGCCCAGTAAAGATCTTTGATCTAATTGGATAAGGAAAATGTTTATATACACAAATTAACAGGGTTTACATAAGCAGACGCTTATGTTTAAGTTCCTCCATGTGTTAGGTATCGAGATGCCTGCTAGGGAAAAGCAGAAGATGTAAAGGCACAGTGAAAGTGTGATTCTGTCCATGGGATGCAAAGTGAATGAACTGTAATGTGCGCAGGCAACAAAGAGTCAATTTCCTCCATGTATTTTTGTATATTTCTTATTTTATAATAAAATAATCTAAAAGACCAACAGAAAGCCTATTCATTCTCCTAAATAAATATACCAAATATCATGCTGTTTTGCTCCTCTGTGAGCAAGTCCCCAAATCTCCTTTTCTTCACACACACACCCACCCCATGTAACCCACTGAAGCAGGGATTGGCAAAAAGCAGAAGAGCATATGGTGAAAGAGAGCACAGAGAATGGAAGAGGACAGATGTGGTAGAAAACTTTTCACTGCGCTATCGAAGTGCCTAGCACTGAGTGATCAATAAATACGCTAAAGGAGTACAAAAAGGGTTCATCACAGAAAGGAGTACAAAAAGGGTTCATCACATGTCAAACCAGAAAATAAAACCAGTTAGAACTGGATAGTCACCATACCACCTACACCATCCCACCCCATGTTCTCCAGAAGGTCTTGGACAGCAATGGCTCCCAAAGTGACCCATTTAAGGTGGAATCAGGTGTCAAACAGGGATGTGTTATTGCCCCAACCTTATTTTCCATCTTCATCACTATGATACTTCATCTTGTTGATGGGAAGCTTCCCACTGGAATGGAAATCATCTATCAGACAGATGGCAAACTGTTTAACCTCAGCAGACTGAAAGTCAAAACCAAGGTCACAACAGCATCTGTTATAGAACTCCTATATGCTGATGACAACGTAGTCTGTGCGCATTCAGAAGAAGACCTACAAACCACTCTGAACACCTTTGCAGAAGCATATGAGAAGCTCAACCTTGCATTGAACATCAAGAAAACCAAAATGCTTTTCCAGCAGACACCAGCCAGTCCCTCTGCAATTCCAGAAATACAGCTTAATGGTGTAATGTTAGATAATGCTGATCATTTCCGCTACCTTGGCAGCCACCTATCCACAAAAGTCAACATTGACACTGAAATACAACATCGCCTGAGTTCTGCGAGTGCAGGATTCTTCCAAATGAAGCAGAGAGTGTTTGAGGATTGGGACATTCATAGGGATACCAAGGTGCTTGTTTATAAAGCTATTGTCCTCCCAACCCTGTTATACGCCTGTGAAACGTGGACTGTCTATAGACATTGCATTCAACTCCTGGAACGATTCCATCAGCGTTGCCTCCAAAAAATCCTGCAAATCTCTTGGGAAGACAGGTGGACAAATGTCAGCATGCTGGAAGAAGCAAAGACCACTAGCACTGAAGCAATACGCCTATGCCATCAACTCCGCTGGACTGGCCACGTTGTCTGATCACCATCTCCCAAAGCAGTTACTATACTCAAGAATGGAAAATGGAATGTTGGTGGACAGGAAAAGAGATTTAAAATGGGCTTAATGCTAACCTTAAAAACTCGGTGTCTGTGGCATAGAGAATGAGAACTGGGAAGCCCTGTCCCCTGAGCACTTTAAATGGAGGTCAGCTGTGACTAGCAGTGCTATGGAATTTGAAGAAGCACGAATGGAGGCAAAGGGGAGAAACGTGCCAAGAGGAAGGCACGTCAAGCCAACCCTGACCGGAACCGCCTTCTACCTGGAAACCAATGTCCTCACTGTGGAAGAACATGTGGGTCAAGAATAGGGCTCCACAGTCACCTATATATCCACCACCATGACACTACACTTAGAAGGCCATCATACTCGAACAACGAGGGATCGCCTAAGTAAGGTATTGTGACTATTCAATTCTAACTGGTTTGATATTCTGGTTTGGCGTGAGCTGTACTGAACCCCTTTGTACTCAATTAGTGCAGTTATAGTTCACTCAGTGCTAGGCACCTGAATAACACCAACGTTCAGACCGAAAGGTCTAGCCATTCAGAAAGAGCACCCAATGGATGAGCAAATCTCCTTTTACCCCTATATCCCATTCTTCCTCCATTGCCTTCTTCCTCTCCATTGTCTTGCAGCTAAACATCTATGATGTAGGAGGCATCTTAGAAAAGCAAGCCAGCACTGAGACATGGGATGCATTTCCTCCAACCCACTATACTTCTCTTCCTGACACCTCCAGCCTGAGATCATACAC